AGGTTTTGGGTGCTGGGTGCAAGATGTAGGGTGCCAAGTATGGACTGGGCTCTTCCTCCCCATCCAACCCACCCCCCCAGGTTCATTGGCCTGAAGATGAAATCGGTGACGTTTGAGGACTCGCTTTTCGAGGAGTGCTACTTTGAGGACATCACCTCCAGCAACACCTTCTTCAAGAACTGCACCTTCATCTCCACCGTCTTCTACAACACAGGTTGGGGCCGGGGGGTCGGGGTGGTCCCCAGGGGGGTGCTGGAGAAGGGGGCGACCCCATCGAACCCTTTCTCCATCCCACCAGATCTCTTTGAGTACAAGTTCATCAACAGCCGGGTGGTGAACAGCACCTTCCTGCACAACAAGGAGGGCTGCCAGCTGGACTTCAGCGATGACAACAACGCCTACATGATCTACTTCGTCAGCTTCCTAGGCACCCTGGCCGTCCTCCCCGGGAACATTGTCTCGGCCCTCCTCATGGACAAGATCGGCCGCCTCCGCATGCTGGGTGGGCGTTCAGGAGGACGGGTTTGTTATGCTTGAGGGTGGTGGGACACTCACCCGGGTTTCCCAGAGAGGTGGGAGATGCCCCATCGCTGGGGACATCTGAGGTCACATCGGATGAGAATTTGAGTGACTTGAGCCAGTCAAAGATGTGAGGATGTCTGGATGCCCCATCCCTGGAGGGGTTCAAGGCCAGGCTGGATGAGGCTTTGGGCAACCTGGGCTAGTGGGAGGTGTCCCTGCCCATGGCAGGGGGGGGCACTGGGTGGTCTCTAAGGTCCCGTCCACCCCAACCCATCCTGTGATTCTATGTCCCCACTCATGGCAGGACATTGGCTGAGATGACCTTCAAAGGTCCCTTCCAACCCAACCCAGCCCAACCTAACCCAGCCCAACCTAACGCAGCCCAACCTAACCTAACCCAACCCCACCTAAACCAACCAAGCCCAACCTAACCCAACCTAACCCAACCTAACCCAACCTAACCCAAACCAACTTAACCCAACCCAACCTAACCCAACCCCATCCAACCCAGCCCCACCTAATCCAACCAACCCCAGCCCAACCTAACCCAACCCAACCAGTGGCCCAGGTTGCCCAGAGAAGCTGTGGATGCCCCATCCCTGGAGGGGTTCAAGGCCAGGCTGGATGAGGCTTTGAGCAACCTGGGCTCGTGGGAGGTGTCCCTGCCCATGGCAGGGGGGTTGGAACTTGATGATCTCTAAGGTCACTTCCAACCCAACCCAACCCAACCCCACCCAACCCAACCAACCCCAGCCCAACCTAACCCAACCCAACCTAACCCCACCCAGCCTAACCCAACCTAACCCAACTTAACCCAACCCAACCCAACCTAACCCAACCCCACCTAATCCAACCCAGCCCAACCCATCCCAACCCAACCCAACCCATTCCACGATTCTCTCATCCCCTTCCTCAGTTTCCCCTCTGGGATGCAGCGGGAGGGGAGGATGCTGGTC